TCAAGACCGAACCTTGATTAATTGATTTGTAGCCAATATGAAGAATTTTGCGTGGTACAAAGTATAATGGGCCCAAAATCGTATTACCGTATTTACTTGAGTACCACTCACACCTTTTTTCTCAAAATTCAGAAGAAAAAAAGGGGTGCGCGTCACAAGCAGGTACAAATTTTTCAAGAAGTTTTAGGAAGTTATGTGTGCATTATATACTTGATTATAATAGAGAAATTTGGAAAAAAATGTAACCCAAAAACTTTTTTGTACTGAAAAAGTTGAAAATTTATCAGATTTTTGTTCAATTCATGTCTAAAGTCAATTTTTTGTTTTTATTTTCGAAATTTTGTGGTTGTAGAAGTCACCAAAAATTGGGGTGCGCGTCTTACTCAGGGATAAGATTTTAGCCAAATTTCAAACTGAAAAACCCCTGTGCGTGCCTTAATTGAGGGCGCGTGGTACTCAAGTAAATATTTAATTTTTGATTTTAGACATTAAAAGGTATTTCAAATTCACGGGAAGGCCCGTTTTTAAATGCGGTTCAAGTGAAGGATGCATTATTACAGTATTATTTAATTTTAGATTATTAGTATTTTCTCAATTTCCGAGTAGAATATTTCAGTGATGATCAGAATTGTATTAAAAGAAGGAAGCTGAATTTTTTTTGGATGTGAAGAATTTTGAATAGGATATCAGAAATGTTTTTGGAGTTTATTTTTAAAATTTTAGAGAATTTTACTGTCTTTAAAATTCACGAAGGCGTAATTTTTAATGTGATGCAATTGAAAAATGCATAATTATTAGTATTTGGATTATTAATATTTTCTCAACTTTCGAGTAGAAATTTTTTTTAATGAGCCTTGATTAATTTGTATCCAATTTGAAAAATGTTGTATGGTATAATATATCCGCGATACGCCGGAATTTTTAAAGTTTTGATTTTTAACGTTATAAAGAAAAAAACTGTTTTTCAAATTCAAGTAGGCCGGTTTTTCAATGTTATCCAAGTTAAGAATGCTTTATTTTCTTACTTTATTTTAGATTGTCAATATTTTCGAGAAGAATCTTTCAATGAAGAGCAGCATTTTATCAAGAACCTTATTGAATTTTTGCCAATGAAGAATTTTTTGTTGTATTTGCAAATGCTGAGCTATTTTTGATTTTCACAATTTTCTGTTGGTCATTCAAAGATTGCTCACTACCTGCAGGAAGATGCCAAATCCCTTTTGGAGGGCATAGCGCATATTTTTTTGGAACTACACTGTATTGTTCTGACATTTATCAAAAGTATTTTTAATTTGACTGAGGGATGTTTGACCAAAGAAGTTTTCAAGTAGCGAAGTTTAAATTGCATGGGACTTGAGCAAAGATTGACAGGAAATTTAAATGAGGGAGGTTTTAGAATTATTTGATTTTGACTTGGCATAAGGTCCAGCTGCATTTAGCACCAGGCTTTACTGGCAGAATATTAGGAAAAACCTGGAAAATCCTTACAAATGCATCATTATAGAAAGATAGTCTTTGAAGAGGAATTTTATAGAGATGGATTTTTTTACTGGGTATATTTTAGAAGAGGATTTTTCTTCAGGAAAGTTCGCAGAGATTATTTGTCAGGATGTTGTTGTACATGACCTGTAAATCTTAATACTGTAATTTATTCATTTCATTTTTTATATTCATTTAAGAATTTATTGTTCATTATCTAGCAGTGGCATGAGAACCTTCTGAATGTGAGATAATCAATGTGTACTCCTGAGGTAATTGTAGGACTGCACTGTTTACTTTTAAAAACTGTAGGCTGTACTAAAGAGTCCATCATTATTTCATTTTATTTTGTGGCTTTAATTTGTTCCCCTTTAGTTATTTAGGCATGCATGATTCAACCCAACATGATTTATCTGAAAGCAGAAAAACCATGGCACACCTTTTTTTTTGCAATACTGTGAGACCCTGATATGCAGACACCCTAGCTGACATCTGGACAATTTGACTTAGGGACACTTGAAAACCAAACAAATCAGGCCTAACATCAGAACATTGGCCCAAGTTAGGGACACTTTTCTGAAATTTTCCCAAAAAGATTAAGCATTTTTTTATATCTTTTGAACAAATCAAGCTATTTATATTCACAAAATTTGAAAAAAAATGTTTCATGATAAAGTCGCTCTAATTCATAATCAAAAGCAAGCTGATTTTGTGTTTATTTTTTCAGAGTTTTTCTTTCTATGATTTGTGTGTATATTCAAGCAAGACTTATTCTTTTTCTTTGCTTTTTGATTTTCTTTTGATACCAAAAGATCAGATTCTATGTGGTTTTGTTCTGCGCTGTTGTTTTCTGCAACTTGAAATTGGGGGAAACAGATTTTATTGAAGTTTTTGAAGACTTATTTCTAATTTTTGACAAAAACGAGAACCAATTAAATACATTAGCATTGAAGTCTAAGGAAAAAAGAGACTTGACTTTGGGACATCCTGACATCAGGACACTCTTGATGCACCAATTACGTCCACATCTTGGGGTCTCACTGTATTAAAATTTTTTTTCAATTTCACAAAGAAAGTATAGTTTTTGTAACCATCACAAAAATTTAAATAATTATGGCCTTGCAACATATTGTATATAAAAGCAATGCCAGAGTTGATGGATTCCAAACACTGTGTGTTTTTCCTCTGTTATTCCATATTCAGAGAATTTTGAATAATTATTTTAATTCTTTACAGTATAATGAGTATATGCTTGAAGCCTATGAAACTTTTCCACTAGCTTTCATCCACAGTATTGAGGCTTAACAGAACCTTTTGATATTTATATGATAATGTACAGTACTTGTTTTTCAAAAGTGCTCTTTACTCATATTTCTTGAACTATATTTTAATTTTCTGTTTATTTTTTTTCTAGTCGGAGGAGATCCAGAAGATCCTGCAGCATCTGGACAGCTCACATTGGCCGAAGAATGCGCAAAAGCAGCTGGAATTTTTCATCCTTTCCACGATTTCTTTGGGTACACCGAATATAACTGCATCTGGTTTTTTCTCAATGAGACGACCAATGTTCACTGCCGTGAGTTTTCGAAAAAAAAATTCGTATTTGATGTCCTGATTATGTTTGCCTTTTTTTTTTAAATAATTTCACATTAATTTAGTATTGCCTTTAGAATTTAATCTATTCATTTTCTATCCTTCTATTACAGTCTTAGTCAAATGTGTGAGTCATGTGTAGAAGTTTCTAGAAATCCATAAAGCAATCTTTGAATCAATTCCCTTAAATTGTATAATATTAAAAATTTACAACAATTTAGCATTAAAACCATTTTATCAATTCCAGTAGCTCATTTATAAAGTTATAGTTCATTATCGTTAAATATTGTCTTGAATGTGGAATCAAGTCTCAGTAAAATCATTTAAACCTAATTCAGCATTTTTAGTGATTCATGATGCAAAGTTCTATATTTATGTTATTTTATAAAAATGTGGTGGACAAAATTTCAGTGATCAATCCTGATTGTTTAGATCTACAAACATTGAACAGACTGCTGCACCAGAAATCTAACATTGAATAAACTGTCATGACACCATCAAAATATGAACTATATCTTACAAATATGCTATAGATTAGGATAATTTTATGCACCTTTTTCTAACTTATCCAAGTGGGAGCTTAACAAACTCAGGAGATACATTATGTATTTTGAAAATTAATTTTCATTGTTTGCAGATTATTCATCTTTCAAAAGCTTAAATGAAATAATATTTGAATTGGTGGATATATTTTACCAAAGTGCTATACTGAATAGTGGACAATCCTTAATAAACTCTTGCCATTTTTGTCAAAATTATAGTAGTCTTAAAATGGGTCTGCCTTGTTTTATTCTCAATGCAGAAAATTCAGCATATGTCTACCAAATTCGCTATAGGAAGGTGATCCATTCATTCATGTCACGGGTTTTACATGATAAATAAGCTGCTGTAGACCACTTCTCCAAAAATAAATAGTCCTTTTCATGTTTTATTATTATCTTACTTTTTTAATATGGAGCCATGTGTTTCGGAATATCCTTTCTACAAAATTCGTTATTGTGTTGAATACTATCATTTTCCAAATTTTGTTTTACAAAACAGTATTTTATTTGATTGTTCCCAGATTTTTGGGCAGATTTTGGCGTGTTTCATCATCCTCATAGAATTCCGCCTCGCATGATACTAGGAGTGACGCCCAGCGGCTGACTTCGGAAACTGCACCGGTTCAAAGAAATATTTTCAGGGACATTGCGACGAAGTGATCCTGCGACTGATTGATTGATTGAGTGATTGCTTGTTCGAGACTCATTGAAAACACTGTCTATAAATTGCTTTTGAAGAATGAGTTATTGTTTTCTAGAAAGAAAGAAAGAAAGAAAGAAAAAAAGACAACAACAAAATCTTTCGTCCAAACGTGTTCCTATATTTTCGCTTATTCTTACTCTTCTCAGAATCCATATATTTCCAAAGTTTGTTTCAAAATTCGCATATTACAAAGTGAACTCGGTTTGTGTTGATTGAGGAAAAGAAAAGAGTTATTGTGTGCTGTTGGAGGACCGCGGATAAGGAAATGACACGATTCGCGACTGTCCCCAAAAAAGGGGGGGGGGAATTGTCAAGTATATACAAAATATAAACACGCGGGTCAGTCCTTTTGAAGCGTACGTGAAGGGAAGAATAACAAGTCCGGGTCATTGTTCATTCCACAACAGAACCAAAAATTGCCAGCATGGTCTTGTTAATCGGTCCTATTTAATTCAGATCAAAGTCACTTACCTAGAAATGTAAATCTCTGAGGTTTTGCATCCCTCACTGGCAACTGGTGCATGCATGCAGTATTACAGGGCAATGTAGGACGTAAATAGAGTATACTGAAGACAAGGAATATACTAATAAATGTGTTCATATACAGTTTAACCTCTTCAAAGTCTAACTGTGAGGAATCCACAAAAAAGTTTGCCTTGGGAAATTTTTGAATTGAGGGAAATCATCACTTTTGATAAGAAGGAATAATTGCAAGAAAATAAAATCAGTTTTCTTCTGTGTCCTGAAGTGCTGCTGGGTAAATAAATTGACAAAAGGATGAACTTGGATGAGGAAAGGGGATCTTTTGTCTCAAATAAATGGGTATATAAAGTACATTGATATATACAGATATAATATATATATATATATATATATACTGTATATGTATGTATATACAGTATTTATACTTTACTCTGGTTGACTCTCTGCCTACAAGAAAATTCAAGGGTCTAGAAAATATTTTCTTCTGAGAGGACCCCTATACAGGTAAGATGGGTGTATATAAGAAACCTTACTGTATGGGACTGAAAAATTGTTATTAAAATCACTGTAGGGAATCTGTGATGTACATGGAGGTGATTATGATGCTCTGTGTATTCAAATCCTAAAAGCAGGGACCCAGCTTTACATACAATTTTTGGGTTGAGTAGGC